GTTACCCAGGCTGTGAAGTCATCAATGAAAGCGATTGCTCCTCTGTTCGCATCAATTCGGCGTTGAACCAAGTCCGCGTTGAAGAACAGGTATGCGACGGGAGACAAGGGGAACCCTGCGGTAGGCCTGCTTGCGGCAGATCTTGCACATCGGAGTCTTGTCCATTGAGTTGAATCGATGCCGTTCGATCGGAACAGAAGGCTTCAATCCATCTGACAATTTTCTCTGGCATCCCTCTTGCCCGCATCCTTTGGAGCAGTCGGTCCTTGAACACGCCGTTGTATGCACCTTTCACATCAAAGCTGACGAGACTCAACACCCGTCCTCCTCTCCAAGCCGCGTAAATTTGTTCTTGCAGCAGCAGTAGCGCCTGTTCTGCAGACCTTTGCTTGCGTCCTCCAAAGTGGTTGGTCGGGAGCAGGCCAAACGTCTCCACCGCATGGGAGATTCTTTCGGCAATGACGGACTCTAATATCTTGCCTAGCGTGCACAGCAAAGATATCGGTCGCCAGGATCCTGCGACGCTGTAGTCTTCTTTGCCGCCTTTCTTGAGTGGTACAATCTTGGCGTGTCGCCACTGATGCGGCAAAATTCCCTCGTCGAGAGAAGCCTGGAACAACGCCATCACCTGGTGCTTGACCGCCGGCCAGACCTGTTGCCAGACCACCGTCGGCAGCCCATCTTCACCCGGCGCTTTCCAGGATTTGGCCGACATGAGTTGACGCTGTACTTCTTCCAGAGTTAGCTCCGGCAAAGGCACAGCAGCCCGCTGTGGGCGCTCGCCTTCCTCTTCGATATGCTCAGGTAGCGGCGGAAAGAATGTGGTTAGGAGCTCCTCTGCTTGTTCTGTATGGGAATTTGTACGGGTTCCATCTGCTCTCAAGAGTCGTGGTACCCTGCCGAACGCCGATTCGTTGCCTGATTTGAGATATTTGGCGGCCTTCCAAATGTTATCGTTGTCTGCCAAAAAATTCTCCCAGTGTGATTTCTTTTGTAGTCGTATGGCATCGTGATACTGCTTGGCCGCTGCCTTGGCAGTCTCAATGAGGTCCTCGTCAGTGTATCCAGCGCGTCTTACCGCTCTGGCACGGTTACGCTAATAGGTGTACACGGGTATGGACTGCTTCCAGCACCACCGACAGCAGGGCGTCCGTCCTCTCCTGCACCGTTCCACCGACCGCACCTGACAAGTTGACCGCTATTCTCTCCTTGATCTCTTTCCACGGCGCGTTTCTCAGCATCAGTCTTCCCTGGCACCGCGCCTCTGACGTTTCCATTCCAAATATGGTTTCAATGGTCCTGTGGTCCGACCCATGTTCCGTGCTGCACGTCCTGCAGCTTACGACGCTGCCTGCTAGTTCCTCAGTAGCCAGGACCGGATCGATTGTTGACTCGTAGTTCCCTCCTTGCCAAGTTTTTGTACCTCTAGGCAGTAGACTGCTAAGACTGTAGTCACTCATGAGATTGATAATGTCATCCGCCTCGCCTTGTCTGATCAAGGAAACATCCTCGCCTTCCCATAGCTGATCATGCCTGTTCAAGTCTCCGGCCAGGACAATGTCGACGAGCTGTCCCGCGCCTCCTCTCGTCTTTGCAATAGTTGCCCTAAGAAGGGTACATGCATCCGCCAATGCTCGCGCATTCACACCTTCGACGTACATAGAGACCACCAACAGCCTGCGCCCAGGCAGTGTGATCAAAGCCGCCGTTAAATCCGACGAGTCCACCGCTACCTGTTCCACCTCCAGGTCCTTCCTTATCCAGAGCATACTCCTAATCGCCCATCTTCTCTCCGTATCACATATCGTAGGGACTAGCTTGGTCCATTTATGATGTGCCATTGGAGTTGTCAGCAACCGGCCCTGAACCAATCGGGCCTGCGGTTCTTGAATGGCAACGATGTCTGCGTCAGCAATCTCCTCATCGTTCATCAGACTATCGTGTATTTCCCCCCGTTTGTGAACATTTAATTGAATAATACGCAGCGTGTTACTCATTCCTGGCGGGGTAGAGTAGTCTGCAGATTTTGCTGAACGATTCGTGAGGACCGCCACAGGGTACGCACTTAATTGTAGTTTCGGTGCACTCCCTGTGATGATAACCACTCTTGGCACATCTAGCGCAGACTTGCGGCTTCTTGCATTCGGCTGCTTTGTGGCTAGTAAGCTCTTGGCAATTGTAGCATTGCTTTGGGCGTGGGCGATGCTTAAACTCTGTTGTTGTTGCCGAAACGTCGCCGATGTAGAAGAACCCCTCGTCTAAAAATCGTCGGGCTTCAGAAGCTTTCTTTAATTCCACGAGTACCGAGCCGTAGCTCTTCGAGTGTCTGTCGCTTAGCCATGATACTTTCAATACTTCGGTATCATTCGCCCCACTCAGAGCTGCCTCTATCTCGGGTAGGTTTCTTCCTTCCAGGGAGAGTACAGTTATGGGCAAAAGGGCGCTCCACTTTTGAATTAATATATCTTTTTAAGTTGCTGCAGCCAAAAGTGGCAGGTACCTTAGGCTACTTGTGTCTAGCCAGCTGGAAATGGCTCCTACCATTGGTGGGTGTGGATTTTTTTGTTTTCAGTGGCCAAATGCTGCTAAGATAGGGCCAGTATACTAGTTTTCAACGCCGATAGCTGTCTTGTGCTTGCACACTGGCCAGTTTCTGGCCTCGCCATTATAGAGTTAGGTAGAGTGCTGAAGCCAGACATCAATATCTAGCTCAAGACACCATCAAGCATAAGTATATGACCAAACGAAACCCTGGTGATGGTGAGGAAACCTGTTAAAGACTATCAAAAAAGGCATACAATGGAACAACCAGCTGTGCATCCGATGCAGAAAAGAGACAGAACAAGGGACAACTTTGTCAGATCAACAATGGGTCTGATGAAGCGGTCAAATAGAATAAGCCAGCTCTATGACGCTGATATGTACGTCCTCGTGCGGTGGAAAAATAGGCATTTTATGTATTGCTCTACGGAGGAGCAAAGCTTCCCCCCAGCTGCTGGGATCCTGGTGAGAGAAGTAACATTTTTTGTGGTAAGACAAGGAGGCTGACTACATCGGCAGCACAAAGTATATCCCCCAGTAGTAAAGAAAAAACCGGCAGACTTCGTAGAGAAAGATAGGAGGAACGTCGTGAAGAAAAGATAAGTGCGTGGTATTAAGTAGTTCAATACAAAGACTTCTATCGACAGAAGCGATGAATTCTCATAGTCGAAAGTACATTTTCAAGCCCATCAGTGATAGGCACTCGCACTCAATTGAGAACGAGTCAATCAACAGGACACGTTGTTCTGACCGTAGCACTATTATACGACGAACAACGTTGAAGTATTGGCTATAACTCGAGCAGCTGGATCAAAATAAATTTGTTACTTTCGTGTGAACACAGCTGGCTGCCACACCTGTGAAGAAAATCGCTTCCTCGACCTGGTGCCGAATGCCCAGGCTCCTCGAACTCGTGGGTTGGCCCCACTAACCTCAACTGGACTGAGGTACTGCGTCTCAGTTTCGCGGAGCTCCGTGAGCCTCCCTAGCCACACGACGCCTCCCTGAGCCACAGAGAGCCTCCCTGAGCCACCAGAGCTACCCTGAGCAACACGGCGAAACCTCCCGGAGCTACCCCGAG